TGGCAGAGACCGCTACAGACCTCTCATCTCTTCCACATTGGTTAACAATACGTTTTTTTCGGTGGCTGTTGCGCACGGCAGGTGGACTTGGGAACTCAAAGGTATCATATAGCACATCAAGCACAACACAGTTTATCCAGACTGAACGTAGAAAGGGTTGTCCGTAGGACAGGGGTTGACTTGAAATCATTCCGTGCGACTTCAATTTTAGTCGAGTAGGCTCGGAAATAACGATGACAGTAAACGTGAGGGACCGCAAATACACACGCGCGCATACCTACGCAATAAATCACAAACACCGTTAAACAATCCCACCTAGTTAAATGTCATCGTTTAAGCGGTAGCTATCCGGCCGAATCACCCAGCTCTGCAGGTAAATCACGAACTTCTAATGACCCCTTCGTAGGATATATTTTCCGAAAAGCCCATCCAAGTGAAACTCTAAATATGTGAGTCCATATAGAGTGGAGTTAAGGGTCATTAGGTGTGCGGCATATCTGTACGACAGCTGTCAGTAATATCAGTCTCTAAGTCCTCGCACACACCCAGGCGTCTGGACATCCGCAAGGCCTGTCGGGTTCGAGTGAGACAAATGCTACGCAAACCTGCATACCAATATGCAACTACTGAGCAATTCGCTGCTGACTCCTGGCAGTGGCGCCCGTAATCAAATGAATCAGCTAGTAAGACATCATTTATAGGGTATTTGTGCTTTCTTCTTGGGTTACGGCTAGTGGCTGAGATCGGAATTAATGTTTGGAGGTATGCTATTCACACACACCAATTCCCATCACATGTTATCAAGGATTAATGACTACTTGTTCTGATAACTAAAACGGAACAGCTGCAACCGGACCCTTCGTTAGTGACTGGAACCCAACATTTAATCGTCGGTCGTTCGATCTAATAACTTATCCTCAACTGCCTATCAGGTTTTGATCAGGGAAGTTAATTCACCATGATGGCAACTCTCTAAAGGAAATGGTTTGTCAGAGAAATAAGCCAGTGCTTTACCGACAGAGTGTGAGAAAGGCCTTTGCATAGGATGACTTGTTCTTGCGAATGTCCATTAGGATCTGCTCGGATGAGTCAGGCTTGACATGCTTGAATTTCATCTTGTTCAGATCCTTCGTACAAAGCCAGATGAAGATTGCCCTCACACGCTCCAACTCCGAGGTGATGTTCCGTGCGTAGATGAGTTGCCAAATGAGTTCGTTGAAGCCTTTCTGCTCTTGTTGTGACACCACCACTGCATGCTCGTCAACCTGCTGTGAATAGGAGCGAAGGGGTGAGATGAAACAGCACATAATTATGATGTCCGACCATTAGTTCACACAATCCGAGCTCTCACGAGAGCTTCTACGATCTCGGCTAGAATGGGGGAGGCGGCTTTTGAAAAGAAGACACCAATGCAGAGCACAACGTAATGAATTTTTGTTTTTATATCAAGGGCTATGAATATAGTCTTTGTTGGCAAGGCTGTGGTAAGAACATCATCAGAGAATGTAGAAAACCCAGAATAGTGTAATATTAGTGCATAGTAAACATCGGCGTTTCCGGCAAGCTATGCTTTGTTCGCTGACGGCTTGAGGCCCAGCCGTCTGAGAATTTATCACAGAGTTCCTACATGGTTTGCAGCGGCTTTTTCCTCCTCTTATTGAAACGATTTATGGTGGAAATGAATGTAGGAATTTAGCAGTGATAGGCCAAACGCCTTTCCATGAAAGTGTAGCATCCATTCCCGTGCACCCTCCTTCAGCACCTTTGCCTTTGTCCGCGGCCATGTCATCTGTGCAAATCTGCGGGCGCTTGGCCTCAACAGAGTCACCCCTTCGACTTGACCTGAGCTGATGCACGGGTGCGTTCACACCAGGCTATTTTCTGCACCTCGGCCGGCATGGTTTGTCACCCTTTGACCCCTTGTAAGTGTGCCTCCTGACCTTACCATTTGAAACAATCAATCACATATCTTGCGTTCAGTCAGTCGCTCCCTCATGCTGACACGGGCACGCCACAAATGCGTGACCAAAGTACCGCTGCGCCCACGCTCCCAAACGGACGCTTTGTTCTGCCACATGGGCCAAGTGTCATCTCACGGTAATCAGGTCTGTTTATCGAATAAATCACTTGTCATTGGTAACTGACTTCTATTAGAAGGAACGAATATAATGGGCTGACATCCAGAGATCACTGTATGTCAGTCGTCCAGAGTCAGATCAGCTTGAAAGTAGTGCGGGCTTTTCAATTTTAACCGCCATTTTTGCCCTCCATCTATTCGCATGTAAAGGTTTCTTATACACACGTCGGTTGGCCTACTTCGCCCATTATAAACAGCTTTTATCCCTCTTTTTTATTTGAAGTACAATAAGGTCATGAGGGCACAAGGTCAGAACGGTAGCGCTGTTTTAGAAGCAGTCCAATGCGATCTACATTTAACGACTTTTCCTAGTACATTTGGCCGTAAAGTGGAAAATTGCAGTCCATTGCGATTATGGATAACTTTTTTACCCCATTGCTATGAGTTTGTGCCCCTACTTTTATTCTTTTAGAATAGAGGCCGTTTTGCTG